TATGTATGTGTATATCACGCGCGTGCTTTCTGGAACCAACACCATGAGATGCTCCCCCGATATATACGCGATATTCTTTTTTACCTGCGGTACAGTGAGCTTGTACGAGGGTCAACGTCATGAAGCCTTTTAAAAACGTTTCGCGCGCGTCATAAAAATCTAACTGTACCTGTACAACATTGCACAGCGAGAAGCGAACGCATTTTACGCATTGCACCTTTGAGGAAAGATCAATTGAAAAAAAATCTTAATAATCTTAATAAAAGGAAAAGATCAGACAGATAGATAATAAGAAAAAAAGAAGAGAAATACATAAAATGATAAAGAAATTAAATAGCGAAAGAAGGATCCTTTTTGATTTGAATTCCAATGAATTTAGTATATATAGGTATATCTAACTATTAAGTATAGTAATACAAATACAACATCTTCTGTATCTTTTAATATTAGACAATGCGTCAAAGTCAGCGCTTATAACCGTAGACTAATATGCTTAATTGTAATACTCGGTCACTTTAACCGATTTCATTTGAACGCAATTAGTAAGATTTATACGTATCTCCGCGGTTAAATTGTGTGCAGATATATCGCAATCAGGCAAGTTGAGAACGGAAATTAAAAATTTATATAGCAATCACTTTTTACGCATCGTATACGAGCGTTTATCAAACTAATAAATTCTTGTACGGAATTCATTATCGTCGGAAATTTTCCTGATCCTCCCGTTATTTCATTATACGTTTATCACGTATATTTAAAGTCCCGCGAATATGCACCTCTAACGCAAAGGTACTACTGTATAATTGAAACCAAGCGCACAGTAGAAAGAAATGTAAATGCATATTCATGCAACGTGTTGCATGCACCTCGAGTTGGTTGAGGAGCGTGAGAGCAAACTACACCATGAGAACCGCTACGTAAAGGATGTCGTAGGAAATTCTACTCATCTCGGGTGCCTCTTGACACGTATACAACTTAACTCGATGCAACGAGTTTAGATACAACACGGCTCGAGATATGCATGTGTCCAGCTTCCAAAAGGGTTGACATGGTAGGAAGTAGATGTGAAGGTCACGCGAGAGATAAAGAGAGAAAGGCAGAAAGACAGAGAGAAAGGGAAACGAGGGGAAATGAAATGACAGAAGAGACCCGAAATCCTACAACCATGACGTTGACTCGTGACCCTTTAGTGTGGCTTAGAGTAATTACAGCTTTGTTTATTATTATTGTTAGGTGAGCCGCGCATTGTACAAGAGCTTTCAAACCAACGCGAATTAATCTTTGCTAAGTGGAGCCAATGTGGAACTGGCATTCCCATCTCTCTTCCCTCGCGCCATTCTGCAAGATCCGCGGATGAAAGGTAGCTTCAGAAGAGCCTGCATCTTCGTTCTCTCACCTCCTCGTCCTGCTTCACAAACTCCATACTTCTATCATTATCCTATCCAGCCTTCCTTAACTAGCATCTTTCATTAAAGGAAGCCGTCACCATTGTGCCCAACTTGTACGACTCGATAGACAATGCAACTTTGTCGGACTCCAGCAGCTGCCGTTCACGCCGCTTGCTCTTGGATCCTCCCATGAAATTTCCAGACCTCCAAGTGCTAATTCGCGAGGAAGAGAACATATCCTACAGACGCTATCGTAACGAAGCACCTGGAGCTCTGGAACGCCAAAGGCTGTTATCGATGGTGTTAATATTACGATATCGACTGTTTGTATTAAGTAATCATGTGATATGATGTAATTGAAAATCTGATATTCTTATTATACATTAGTACAAATTTGTGAGCCGGTAATGAGATCCAAAATGTTAAAAAATCTGTTTTACCAAAAGTGAAAGAAATTTTACAAAAGTTGAAAAAAAAGTGCAATGATATTTTTATATAATAATCGTATTAGTAAAATTAGTATTATATTAAAAGAAGATATTTCTTTTCTTTCATAAACTTAAAATATATATTTTTTTGTATCTGATATATTGATACTTCCAATCTTGTAATATTCCTTCACTTTATATTATCCGTTTCATATTATTATAAAAGAGTTACCAAAATTTCCCGTTGAAATACAAATAACATAAAAGCGATAATTTCTAAAATTGTCTGAAATAAATTAAATAGAATTAAATAAAGTATAAATATAAATAGATAAAAATGAAAAATAAAAATAACCCATTAAAATTTGAAGACGTCTTCAAATCCCATTTAATTTCTCACGATATCATATAATTAATTCAGTAAAATGTTCATTTTTTCTTAAAATATCTCATGGTCAATGAGAACAGCGATTACTTTAAGTTCGACAGAGTGAAAATTTAATATCTGATATGCGCGATTAAACGAAGTGGAGAAACGCTTTAAACGTGCGAGCATG